AATATGCAAATATATATTCAGCACAGAGAAGGTGTTTGGGCTGCTGGCATGGCCCGAAAGCCAGCCCACCCAGCGTGGTACAGGAGGGCAAATTCAGAAGTCCAAAAGTGGCGCCTCACCAATACCGAGGGATAAACCACCATCGTATTACAAAAGCATAAGTAGAATTCATGAATGGTGCATCGATACCACGGAAGAAGAGTGGATTGTTAGATGGACAAATTGAACAGACAAGCGGACAGAAGTGCTAACTCAAGTAGCTATGGTAAAGGAGCAAATCTAGGCAAATGCGCCTACCACAGGATAAGGACATTCATTCACTGTCAAGCATGCACTGCTACTACACTTGGATGATCTATTTATGTGAAGTCCTACAGAAGGACCGTATTCAATCCTTGATAAGGTCTCCTCTACTTGCCCACAAATCTAACCAAAAGTTGGGCGATAACACATGCCCTCCGTCAGATAATTCAACCCAAAAGGGGCTTAAAACACAGTATTCTGCCAATCAGGCATCAAACACCCACCATTTCACCGGATTGTGCGACAACAATTTGGATCCAGCGCTAAGTTGTACAATTAAGATAAATAAAACGACAGAGAAGTGCAAATCACAATGAATGACAAGATTACCATAGAAAATTCTATCACAAATAGCGTCCACATGTAGGTAACAGACTGACAGCAACTTTAAATTTCGAGGCCCACGTTTCGTGTGTAATTCAGGTGGATTCTACAAATTAACTGCGATTATGCATTCACTAATTTTGTGGAAACATCAAACTAAACTTTCTTAGAAAAATTAGTTTAGCAAATAATCAGAACTTAGTAATCATGTTTGGAAGAAAACTTTGGTTGTGGAACTCGCGATTCTGATAAGGTTTTACTTCGTGCATTGGCCATGGTAGCTTTGCCGTGTGGGCTGGCTTGTGGCCATGTCAGCAGCTACACACCGTTTTCAATCTAGAACAAGTGTTGGACAGATACGAATGCGTATATGGGCGGTGTGATGGATAAACCAGTGGCTCCGAATTAGGGAGGTATAGTAGGAAAGTACAGCATAGTGGACAGAGGGCTCATTGCACCGCAAAGGAATCATCGCATTCTCCATTGTATCTGCCAGTGTTCAAACCAAATGCCTGCTGAAGCAGTCTAGGCCACCCTTGGTCCTATTCCCCTATTCCTGACCAGACGTCATCCAGGGTGATGTTATGCAAAGGGGGTGCTCGCTTGCATGTGGGCCGTAGGTGTATTGACCCCTCCACACTCAGCACTACAGTAGCCCTTCCTGCAAGTGTTTACACAATGCACTTATGTAGAATAGTTCACTCCGTCGGAGTG